TCTCAATCCATTTCTAAGAACATGGAGGAATCCTCCTTGGGCAGACCAGCATAAACCACAATTGTTGACTGGTTGTTACAACTCTAGCCCAATTCACAGTTTGGTCTCTCGGAGGAATAAAGTTTAAATATGAACAGACTAAACACGAACACATTTAAAAAGTTCCTTACATGTGTTCTATTCCTGCTTTTGCTTAACTCAAGAAGACAAACCGCTTTGTTTCTTTTTCCTCAAAACAAATACTCAAGCTACTGAACAAAAGACAACATAAAACAAAAATTATCATATCTGTTTTGTAAACCAGCACTTTTTTTTCCTGTTTGGCCTGAATATGAATAGGAAATTGGAATCCTTTCCAGTCAGTCTGAATCTAATCAAGTCCATCTCTCCCTCTGAAATTACTCTCCATACCGGCAAAACATCTGTTAAAAAGGGGGCATTTATTGAAGATACAGAGCCAAGGAAACCCAACTCTTCAAATGTCAACTGCCTTCACATAAAGTATATGAAAAATAGCATTTAAAATCATGGTTAATAAATTTATCACTTGATCTATTTGTTCAAAACATCTGTTTTTACTATTATTAGTTCCCAAAATATGTGGTATACTGTCTTCCATATTTTAGTTTTCCTCTCAACGCTCACAGTTTCTCAACCTGAAGTGCCAGACCAGCTTCTGCCAAGACTGACAGACTGGTTTCCAGAAATGCCATTCTATCACTTTATTCTGGGAAGACTGTCTCACTTAATAATACTCTCCTTTATCAGAAGAGGCCAAGCATCACTTATCATATGAACTGAGAATTCATCAGGCCACTTATGCTTAAGCAAATTTTAAGTGAATTGAAAGTATCAAATTTGAACTTCAGAAGTTTACCAGGTGGATGGTACTGCAAGGCAGAAGAGATACAGGAGCCACTACTTTAGGAAGCACTTCTCCTCAACAGGTTAGCAGATGGACAGTAAAGGCATGTGCTCATCTACTGACCACAAGTCTGCAAAACACCATTCTGCAGACTCCTGGTTGCTCCCAGTAGGCCTTACCGTTTAAGCCCATCTCCATCCTTTCTCCTCCAGTGTTGTCTTGCTCCAAACCCATCATTGCCAAACGTTTTCTTTTTGCTCCCCTGTAACTAGCTCTAACTTCCTATTTTTCATGCAAGAGTGAAACTAAGACTTCCCTACATACTGTAGAAACAAACAGCACAATAAATCAAATCTACTAGTTTTATTTTGCCAATGCTTGAAAATATTCGTAACAGATATTTTATACCAGAAATACCAGGTTTTAAAGCTATAGAAACTGAAGGGAAATATTTAACAGCTCCATTCCTCTACAACTATTACAGAAAAAGCCTAAATGCTTCACTCGCCACACTGCTCTCCCCTACACCCTGACTCAACTATTTCCAACTTATCCATTTCCAGCATCTGCAAATGGCAGATTTAGATTATGACTCGAGGCCTGCAGTTTTAAAAAGATTCCTGTAATGAAGAGGACCTTGTTTTCAGATATTAGAGCTCCTCTCTTCACGTTTTCCTACTTCTAAGTTTAATAATTAAGATCGTCTCATACAGAGTTTTGAATTAAAATGTCAAAACTCTAATGAATACTGCAAATTGTAAGTAAAGATTATCAAAATAAAATAAATATGTAAACAGGTTAAAAGATGAGTATCCAAAAGCCTATAAATACACCATGCTATCAACTCACAGATTAGATTAAAGATAAAGAAACATGCAGGTACCTCCTTGCACGATAATATCAACAGATCAGGATTTTGACACTTCACTTAAAATTCTCTCTTGCTTTTCACTCAGTGTGAAATAACAAGCTCGACCAAATTCCCTCTGTTTCCACTCCCTGCCCCTCTCTCCTGTACTGTGCTGCAATACTTGGAGCAGTGCAAGAAATGTAAATACACGCCAAAGCTTTTGCCGGCGCTAACTCGGCGGACCAGATAAACATAAAAGACCGAAAAGATTCCCCAGAAAGCCCATAGGCCATCCCTACTCGTCGCTCCTCGCTACACCGCTCCTCTTACATAACCGAAGTAAAGGAAAATAGGTTAAATGCACGCAGGCAGAAGAAGCTGATGAAATCCCACGGTGACAGTTTCTTTTCTTCCTCCCTCCCCCTGCGGCTGGGGGGAGGGGGTGCCAGCGGAACCGGGTCACCCCACCGTGCACGCCGGCCATTTCTGATGTCATTTCCCTTCCTCCCTGGCTCCCTCTCCCCGCCCCGAAAGAAAACCAACCCCCATTACACAAGTCCCCGGGCCGCAGGGCAGCCCTCGGTCCGGGGCAAACGGAAGAGCCCGCCGGCATCCGCAGCTCTTGCAGGCCGCATCCTCCCCTCTCCCGCGGGCCCCAGCCCGCACTTAACACTCGAGCAAAGTCCCGTGGCTACCGCAACGAAAACTTCCCGGCGGGCCGGGGACGGCCGCGGTTCCCCCTCCCACCCCGCCGCCACCGCTGCTGCCAGCCGAGGTGTCAGGGCCTGCTCCGCGGCCCGCACAGGCCTCGGGGGCCGAGCGGGCGTCCCCCGGGCGCTCCTCGCCCGGCACCTACCTCGGCGTCGGTCGTGGCAGCAGGTGTGGGTGGGCGGGCGGGCAAACGAGCGGTGAGTGCTGGGCCTGCGCGTTCCGGGCGGCGCCGCGGATGTGGCTCTCGCCGCGGTTTCTGGCCGCCGATCTGCCGCCTGCGAAAGGCGCTCTCCAACGGGACACCTCCGCCTCCTCCCCGGCGGCGGTAGCAGCCTCCCAGGGTGGTGCGAACGTTAGGGGCCCCGGCGCCGCCTCCTCCGGCGCCGCTTCCTCCGCGCCGGGATTATCGCCGCTCTCGGGACGGGGCCCAGGACCATCTCTCCGCCATTTGCCCCGCTCCTTCCGTCACTGCGCGTCCCACGCCCGGCCACCGCCCGCAGCCAATCGCGCCCCGCGTTACTCAACCGACAGCGCCGCCGCCGCGCATGCGCTTACTCCGCGCGCGGAGCTGACGCATGCCCACTCCGCGCGGTGGTTGCTGGGAGCTGTAGTTTGAGCTTGGTGAGCGCCTGTCTCGGCGGGGGATGCCTCTCCCACCACGGAGCCCCGCGAAGCCCCCGGGTGTCGGAAACAAAACCCGCGCCAAGTTCGGCCCCGCGCTGTGTTGGGCCCGCGAGCTTCCAGTCGCTTAGTAGAGGCCGGGACGGGCTGGGATGTCGTGGCGCGGCCTGACGGGACCCGTGCGCTCTTCAAGGCGGCCTTCGTTCGAGAGCGCCCCCGGGAGGAAAGTGTCTCCTCTACGGTTTCTGAAGGCGAGGACAGTGAGGCCCGCCCCGGGCATCATAACTCGGCCCCGGCGCCCGAGTAGGTCGCGGCTGCAGAGCAGGGGCCCCGAGTGGGGCCCGGGATCTCCCGGGTAGGCTGGTGCAGAGCAGCCCGGCGGCAGGAATCAGCTGGAGCGGGCAGAGCTAAGGTCAGAACCCTCCTGAGCAGTTTGGCAGCACGGCGGGCACTGCACCAGCCCTACGTCGACTCAATTAAAAGTTTGTTACGCCAAGCAGCAGCAGGCAGCCTCACCCAGGGGAGTGACGGCCCCTTCCACTCATTGCAGCACTTCACTGATACTCAGCGGTTGCAATCTCAAGCCTTTACATCCGCTGCAGAAAGGAAACGTGCTCTGCTGAGAAGTCCCATGAAACCTTCATAGTGTAGACGGTAAAAATAGTGGCTTTCACAAGCTCCTGCTTCCACAAGCACCAGCTTATACAGAGCAGTTACAACCACCCACGTACATTATATTTATATGCACACGGTTGAGACTTAATTAATGACACACTCTGTGTAAGGTGAAAAAAACACTCCATGGAGATTGTGTCCTACAGGAAATGTGTACAGGCAGCACAAAATCATAAAATGCACTATTCTACATTCTGTAAGCAGCATTTTATAAAATACTTGTGCAACAGAAAACTAAGGGTGTGCTATCAGAAAAACGGTGCCTTGATAAAGAACATCATACAGATTGGTAATTTTTCAGTGGACTGAGGCCCTCAGGAAAAAAAAATGGGGGGGGGGGCAACAACACCCCAAAAAAACCCTCTAACAATCTTGGAACCTAAATTGGTTTCATAACACATTGGATGATACAACAACCATCTGTTGTTTGAGGAAAGGTTTTAAAATACAGGTCCCAAATGCAAAATTAATAAAAAAAAAAATAAATGAAGAGGCTGATACCACTGCACAGAAGAGGTGAGAGTTGTCTTGACACTTGTAGTTAAGGAACATTACTTTTTTATTAGTTTTACCTTTAACCCGTGCAAAGTTACTGGCTTTCAGTATAGAGATGCAAGCCTAACATTTTTTTTAGTGATCCTGCAAGTAAGTTGACCTGGGGACTTTACGAGGTATTACTGATGTGTTGGTAGCTTTTTGGTATTACTTCTGAAGAACAAACACACTGAATGTGCTCTCTAAAGCCACGATGCAGCTGGCTAGAGTGTATACAACTCGCCAGTATACAACTAGAGAGTGAAGATGAAATAGACTTGAGCCTTGTGCTGAACTGCACAAGAGCCATTTGAGATACACTTGAGGTTTGTTTCAAAGAAAGCTAACAAGGTCACCTGTATTTTTAACCACCTGACTCAGCTATAGAAAAGCTACTGAAAACAGGTTGCCATTTTTTTAAGTACAGAATTTGAATATAAGAAGTGAGATTTCTTTTTCCCACTGTGAGTATTCTTGCACCAGAGCTACTAATCAGCTCATTTAAACTTCAAGAGCAAAATGGATAGCTAAACCAGTTTGAGTTTTGCATACTGTTGTGTGAGTCTAAAAGTTGTTTTCAGTGACTGACTGATCTGTTAGACAAACAGGAAGAAACAACACTGTGAAGGCTGAAAATAATTTCAAACTCTGTGGAGTTCTTTACAACATAAAAACCCCCTTTGTCCTGAGAACCAGAAAGTGTGAAGAGTATGACCAGAGTAAGGAAGGGACACCAAGAAACTATTTGGAAATAGTTTCTATTTGGATAGAAAGTTAATAAGAGCTGAAATTAAATGAAATATGTTTCTAACTTAAAGGCACAGCTATATAAGTGATTTAAACAGCAATTTAGAGAATTCTGTAGTACAGTAACAGTAATTGAATGTCATTTGGAAGCTCTCACACACCCTATACCCCCTGGGCTGGCTTCATATTTCCAACAATATTTTAAGTCTTTGTAGAATCTCCATAGTCATCTGAAACACTGCAGATTCATGATCATGATGGAATTTCACATAACTAACAGAGGATGAATTAAACTAATTTAGGTGCTAAATTAAACTGATTTAGGTCCTATCCTGGGTATCAGCAGAAGCATACAAGTCCAATAAAGTCTTCTACTTAGATGCTGATGGAAAACAAACATTGTTATGTTCAAGAACAACAAAAGGATGGAACAGTTTTCTGCACCTGACTTAATACACTTCTGAAAATTTCACATCTGGTAACTTAATCAGCTTGGAAATTGACAAATTAAGCTTTGCTAATTTCATTTCGCTTACCTCAAATATGCAAGTACCAAGACAGTTAATAAAAGACAAATCCCATCTATGTTTGGAAATAGTTAAATTTAATTCTCAAAACGGGTGCAATTCAACAGGCATCTTATATTTTTTGTGGAATTCTATTATTTATAGTTGCCAAAACCCAACCTTACAAAACCCTTCATAAATAAAGGAGCACATGAAGAACTCTAGTTTGGCATTTTTCCATGAGAAAGCAGTGGGAAGTAAGCAGCCATCTTACAATTTTAGATTTTCCATCTTAAAAACTTTTCTGGGAAAGCCAAAGTGAGTCCTGCAGCATCTTGTTGCGTTCCATTCCACTCCTCCCTGCAAGAGAAACTAGCATCTGTGCTCTTTTACAGTGCAACCAGAAAGCACTGAAAAACACAGCTCAAATACATCAAAGCTGGAGACAGGAGAGATGAAAGTATAACAGTAAAAGGAACATATAAGAAGGACAGAACAGATACTTTGGTGCATCACATCTTAATGCACTCTAGAACACTCCCAGTTCTCTTTCTGAGGTTCGATTCTGAGATCTCTACAGGGAACAACAGAGACTTTTCAAAATGAGCTGTAGCCTAGTACAGAGCTTTTCACATAGTTCAGTCTTGAGGAAGCCATTAAAACATTTTAAACTGTTAATTTTTTTCCAAAAGAAAATGGAAGATTTCCCATGCAGCAGAAACTCTGTGGAGAGATGAAGACAGTCACAACAGCCTTCCAGAAGCTGTCAGGAAGGCTTCTCAGTGCTGCCTCATGAACAAAAACTAGCATTTGACAGTAGTATCAGCTTAAAGGGAGCTACAGACAGACTTTAAAAGGACCATAGCACAAAGTGTCCTTCATATCAAGTACATAAATTAAAAGCAGAATGTATTCTTGCTCCACTCCTTTTTCACAAAAGGAGAATAAGCTCAGTAACTGATTGCCCTGCTTCCCAGCGCAGCACTACCCAAGCAGCAAAGCGTAATTCACAGGAAGGCTCTCTCCAATACTCATCATGGCCAGACTGCTCCCCTCAGAACCATGAAAGCCAGTGGCCACTCAGTCTACTTCGCAGCTTCTCCCTTGCCATTCTTCTACATCTCACACTAGTCACTATTTGCCTCCCAAGTTCTTTCCAGCTTCCTATAGTACTTCTTCACTTGCCCTTTGTCCAGGTGAGAAGGAATGCATAAGTGGATGTCCTGCTGTTCTTCCTGCACTCACAGCTGCTGCAGTGCTTTCATGTCCCAGTTAGTGCCAATTAGAATGCTAAACATTTCAGTGTGTTTTGCTTTTTCTTTGGAAAATGTCAGGCTCCTCTTGTTCCTGTCCTTCAAGTGCCACATGTACACATGGGTCAGAGCACTCAGGGCTTTGCCATTTCAATTCACTGGGGCTAGAATTTCCCCCTTGCTATTTGCATAGCAAAGGGAGGATAAAGAAACACATTAAGTAACTAATTACCATGCTTTAGTCAACCTCTGTGAAACAGCTCTGAAAATAGTTATTTATACATTAGTACTACTACATATGCATGCTTGAGGAAGCTCAGCAACACCACCAGCAGCAGTATGGGGGTGGGTGAGAACAGCTAGGTTGCACTGAGAGTAGCAGCGGCTGGATCAGAGCAGATGTGGTGGGTTGACCCTGGCTGAACACCAGGTGCCCAACAGAGCTGTGCTATCACTCCCCTCCTCAGGTGGACAGGGGAGAGAAAATAGGAATGGCTCATAGATTGAGATAAGGACAGGGAGATCACTCAGAAATTACCCTCACAGACTTGGAGATATTAGTTTAATTTATTACCAATCAGAGATGGGTGATGAGAAATAAAAACAAATCTTAAAAATTCCTTCCTCCTACCCCTCTCTTTTTCCCAGGCTTAACTTTACTCCTGATCTTTATCTCCTCTCCCCCACTGTCACAGGGGGACAGGGAATGGGTGTCCTGGTCAGTTCATCACATGTCTTTGCCACTCCATCCTCCTCAGGGAAAGACTCCTCACACTCCTGCTCTACTCCAGTGTGGAGTCCCTCCCATGGGAGAACAAGTTCTCCAGAAATTTCTGCATCATGAGTCCTTCCCACAGGCTGCAGTACTTCATGAACTGCTCCAGCATGGGTCCCTTCCGTGGATGCAGTCCTTCAGGAACACACTGCTCCTGCATGGATCCCCTGCTGGGTCACCAGTACTGCAGCAAACCTGCTCCCATGCAGGCTCCTCTCTCCACGGGGCCACAGGTCCTGCCAGGAGCCTGCTTCAGCACAGGCATCCCCCTGCTCCAGCACGGGGTCCTCCCTGGGCTGCCAGTGGAGATCTGCTCCTCCGTTAACCTCCATGGGCTGCAGGGGCACAGCTGCCTCTCCATGGGCTGCATCACAGACTGCAGGGGATCTCTGCTCTGGCACCTGGAGCACCTCCTGCCCTCCTTCTGCACTGACCTTGCTGTCTGCAGAGCTGCTGATCTCACATATGCTCACTCCTCCTTCCAGCTGAAATTCCTGTTGTGCAGGTTTATCCAATTTCTTAAATACATTATCCCAGAGGCACTACCACCATCACGAATGGGCTCAGCCTTGGCCAGTGACAGGTCCATCTTAGAGACAGATGGCACTGGTTCAACCAGTCAAGGAGGAAGCTTCTAGCAGCTTCTCACAGAAGCCACCCCTGTGGCCTTCCCTGATACCACGACTTTGCCACACAAACTCAATACACCTTCCTCTGAGAAAAACATGAGGCAGAACATACAGGAGTGGGGAAAGAGAAAAGATCTCCAACTCAGTGTACAAGGAAGTCTGATCTGTCAAAAATATAACTTTTCTTAGTGAGGTATTTCCAGTGGACAGCATACTGCTTATTTCTGACACTGAGCCCTGGGAGGAAAGAGACTGAAAGGTATTCAAATAGGGGATCTTTATGCAGTTTTGGATCATGTTTTTCAGTATTTGCATAATAGGCCAGCTGTCTTGTCATATGAGGTAGTGAAACGAAGACACTGAGTAACTGGAAGGTTAAAACAAGCACCCCTGGACAGGGCAAAGGAATGCTTATAGGACTGCAGCAAAGGGCCAGTTCTCCGTGATAAAAAAAGAGTTCCATAGATCATGGCACTAATGAATCAAGACCTGGGCAGCTAGCAGGAAAAGTTGCATCACTCCACGTTCTCTTTGGCCTGCACACCCATCTTTTGCAATCAGGTGAGAGACAGCTTCGTCTCTGCAATATAAAAGCTTCTGGAAAGACTAGTTTTACTCGATGAGCCAACAGTAGTCATTCACCTACAGCTAAATTCTCAGCCTGCAAACCCACTGGAAAAACCTGTGGTGAAATACTAGTGGGAAAAGCACAAAGTAGGTTTCACCCTGTTACAGTTGTCAAGGCCAGAACTTTATTCTGCCATGCAGTTTATCTGTGCAAGCTCTGCTGAGAAACTAACCACCTTTGCTGTTTCCCATGAAGATTTTACAATGTGCCAAAGTGTTTCAGGAATAAAAAACACATTTGCAGTGAGGATGCAGCCTAACTTTAAAAGCAGCGAGAAAGTTCTAGGTTCTTTGGTCAGGTAAAGTTTCTGTTGTATTGTTATTGAATAAAAGGGGGCTGATGCCTGAGATCTGTTGCAGCCTTATAGGAGGACCAGATTCAATACCAATCTTATCCTCTACCTGATTTATTTGTGTGTTTCTTTTAAGAACTTATTGTTTCACATTATTATCGAATTTATATCTGTATTCATGGTGGTAGCCCTTAAGGAAAGCTACCAAAATGTACCAACACAGTACTTGCTGGGGAATGCAACAAGCAACTAGTGTGTGGAACTGTTCTTATAAAGAGTTCATTGGTAGGACTGTCATTATCCTATTCAATTTCTCCTCCAGCAACAGGGTAGCAGCCATTTCTGTTGCTTATTTTGCTTCCTTCGACAGTTAAAAAGGGCATGTACACGACCAAAACTTACATATTATGTTCCTTTGTCTTCTTAGCTTTATTAGGTTTGTGTGTGTCTTGTGTGCAGATGCTATAATTCAGTCCCCTTTTGAGTTTTTATTCATAACATTTTTGTTGTAAATGTACTTGTTTCTATTTTTTAGAAAGAGTAGAACTTGGCCAGTAACTAAGCACTTCCACAGCAGTTACAAACATTAAACCATAGCAATATCAGATCAAACAACTAAGCTGCACAGTGTGTGTGGCCTTTGAGGGTCATATGTAGTGATACAAAGAACAGCAACATAAACTACAACTGGAAAAGAAATCCACAGAGAATTAAAACTTGTGGGACTAAGGAGGACTGGATGGACGTGTCCCTGAAGGTCATGGCAGAATTAATGTACTATCTAGCAAATTAAGCTGATAAAATGAAAATTTAAAAAAATCATTAAATTACAATTTCCTCATGGGAAGCTAGGAGGCAACAAAATATCAGCTAGTGACTTAATTAGTTTCCTGCCAGAATACAGCGCTGAACAAATTACTTTCACCTTTATTCAAATTACAGTGCAGTACCATGAAGAAAGCCACAGTGTCTTCTGCCTCTTACACAAAAGCCTGGTACATCCAGGGCCGTACATTGTGCCAGTTCTGCAATCCTGTCCACATTTAACAAGGTTCACTGGGTACACTGTAACCATGTTCTGTGAAATGGTCAAAGATCATCCTACAGCATGCAGTAAAGAGTGGGCAAATGAGTGGTGGCAGAGTACTTCAGAAATGTATTTAAGTAAGATAACAAAGGGCTAAAAACAACCTGTGTATTGACTGGATCTTTAGTTCTATCAAACAAATGGCTCATTACTGGATGTAGCCTAGTGTAAAGGCAATGGAACAAGCAGTGCATTTACTGTCCAAAAGAACATTATTATTCTAATAATACATTGGCCTACAGCAGCTTTTTATGCTGTACTATCCTACTGGATGTGTGATCTTGAATTTCTGAGATAAATGTTTACTGTCTAGCACAGTCATTTCTTGGTAAATATTTCAAAGAGATTGGAGAAATGTACTGATGCAAGAGCTTAGGCTCACACTAGGACTGCTTCAACTAACTCAAAATGTCTCCCTGGTGGTTTTCATAAAGAATAAGCCTTTTACCATGCCTAGGTGAAAACAAAACCTAACTCCTCTTTATCTTTCAATGTATGACATCAAGTGGCTTGAGCATTATGTAGTAACAACAGGTGTCTATTTGGTGCTTTTTTGTGCCTTTCAGATAGCAAATATCTGAGCATACCTGAAAATACATTTCAATCAAAATACCTTTGCTGATCACCTGTCTAGCAAACACATAGGAGACAGTTCATTAAAATAGGAAAACATCATTCTATGCTCTACATCAGCTCAGTCCTAAGCAGTCTTGTTCATCACAGCACTGCATTTCCTAACGTAAGGTATAGGAAGCAAGATCCAGAGAAATATTCATATAATAAAGTACTAATAGCATATGATTATATTGATTCTTTGTATTATTGGAAAGAATTTACATTTAAGACTGAAGGAAAAAAATATCTGACAGTAAGACCATACTGCTCATTTCCAGAGGTAGGAACTTACAGACACCAAAAGTGGAGCTTCCACCTGTTTTCTTCTTTAAATGCTTTCTCAGTCTTGCAGAGAACTGCTTTGTGGCTTCCAGGTCCTTCCTGTCCCATTCAGTTCCCAGACTCCCTGTAGTTTTTAGCATAGGTGCAAAAAGAAAAAAAAAAAAAAAAAAAAGAAGGACATTTAGGTCTTTTAGCTTGATTTTCCATTCCCCAAGTGGAACCTTGGGCAAGGGCTAGTAATCATACAGGCACTGCTAATTGGCATCACCTTTTCATCGAATAATCACTTTGGTCATTATCAGCTTGGACCAGATTCAGGCATGCTGCAGAGACAAAAAAAAATCAGAATTCTTTCTCAATCCATTGAATTATCCAACATTTAAACCAACAGTCATCAGTAGCTGAGACAGGAAAAAAAAAACTATATTTGAAAGAGCGTTGACCATAGTTCTTAATTTTTATTATATGTACTTTAAAATGTACAAATACCAAATGCTTCTCTATGAAATAAAGGTTCCATTAAGCAGAAAAGAGATTTAAAAGTAGTAATAGCTCTCTGCTGGACTTCAGTGACACCTACTGGTAAATAAAGAAGTTACCAAACATTTACTGAAAATGCAGACGCGTTAATTTATGCACCTGCCCTTAGGATTACTAATTTTTATTTTTTTTATTATTATTATTTTTCACTCAGGCTAAGGCCCATGTTCAAAGTTGTTATCGTTAACAAAACATTTTCTGGTTATTTTTCAAAATAGTACTTTGACTCCATCTGATCATTAACTACTTGGAGCTGCATTTTTATCACTCTAAAGGTACTGTCAAGTCATACATTTTGTTATTGGCAGTAGTACATTAAAATAGTCCAGTGGATTTTGGCTTACTAGAGTACACTGGGATGTATCTCCAACGGTTTCCTTAGTCATTTCATTAATATAACTGTATTCAAAAAGTATATAATTTAATAGATCTTAATTTGTTTTCATTTGCTTGCATGGATCCTGAAAGTTAAAATCTCATCAGTAGCACAACCAGCTGAGATCATGGTTTTGATCGTAGCAAATCCCTGCTGTTTGTAGTGCTGAACAAGCTTGTCACAGGTGTCTTAGTCTTGTAGGTCACACAGACATTTCTGAATGAAACTTCAGCCAGCACCTGTAAAAATAATAAATGCCAATAAACTCCCTAAGAGATACTTGAGAGTATTCTCTCATTTCTCCCACCTCACCCACCCCCTTCATTGTTTTGTGCCTTGTTTTTCTGTTAGGTGATACAAAACTCAACTTTCTTATCATCTTACTGTGATGAGGCCTAGAGAGCTCCTCCTGGAAGGCTTTATTTCAATGGCAAAACAGAAGAAATAGCCCATCTCGAGGAATGTAATTCAAATAAAGTATTTCCAGTGGCCTTTTAGCAAAAGCTGGAACAAGCATCTCTTTCTATGATGGAAATACTTAGAGTTGTCACTTTTCTACATGCCTTTCAGATTAGATAATTCAGCCAAGGGTAACCAATTTATTTTTAAGATAGTTGAGATATTTTGTGTAGGAAGAGAAAATATTCCTGTGCATCTTTCAGGTTACCCTCTACAATTCTTCAAGAAACCAAACATGATGCAAGACTTCGCACACAGAAACTGGATGTAATATGCATAATGTATGTTCAAAGACATTGCAGCTGCAGCTGGAACACACAGAATCAATGCAATAAGTGAAAGTAGTACTACTGCTCTGTGCAGTAGACTAATACCTCCATCTACCATTAGGCTCACTACATAAGCTAAGCATGAATATTTCTGTTTAAGACAATTTGTGGTCAAGGGTTTTCTTCTGAGATTGACAGAGAAATAACCACAGTCTTGCCAAACAGTTGGCAATAAACATCACTGATAGAGGTCTAGCCATTCACATTTAATTAGGAAATTTTGCCCTTAATCTCTGGCAGGATTAGAGTTGCCTCCTCTAATACTGTTTCACCTCTAACACTGGGGCACTTTCAGGTATGGCTGAAAAAAGCCCAAATAAATTTTTCAACTCTTCGTCCTGCAAATCCGTCCTTCAAGTAACTGAAGCTTCCTATCTGAAAGCCTATTTTGGTAAAGTCTGCTATTGTCCAGTGCAAACACTCCCAAGACAACAGAAATGCTGTATGGGGTGGTGAGGAAGCATGGCAATGATCACCTGCCACCACCCAGCAACACAGATCAGCACACTCACAAAGTATCAGCCCAGACATCTGAGATCAAAGAATGCACAGATCTTTTGAGTACTAAAGTTTAAATTGAAAACTTGCTCCTGACAGAGCAGAACAGACAGATTTGCACAGGCAGGAATGTTTTTCTAGGTTCTGTGGTAGAATACTTGCCAGTTAAGTGCTGATCTCAGTACGCAATAATAAAAAGTTCTAAGCTAGACTGTAAATAGAATAATTTCTAAGGGAAATGTAGAGACATTTCTGTAAGTCAGGCTATAAATCTCTTAAGTGACAGTTACACATTGATTTTACAAGCATGGCATAATATTAGCTATACAAACCTGTGTGCATAATTAGAATGAAAAGATATTGGAGAAATTTCAGTATGCTGCAGCTTGAAGAGTTGCTGAAAAAATGTAATTCTTTGTTCTTAAACTTGAGTGAATGGATGCATCAGACTTGAGCAGAGCAGAACTATGCATGAGCCCATGGAAATCAGATGCTCAGATGTTACTCCTTGGTACTCTGCATTCAGGCCCTGGGTTAACTGTAACTTCTCTGAAGTGCACAGTGTCAGACAAACTGATAGGAAGTTGTCATGGTGTCAAGCAAATGCATATAGAAATAACAGGCCCATAAAAATCACAGAGACTTTATATTTATACCTTGGCTAAACAGAGATTCACATGATAGATTATAATTATTATACCAGGATTAAAGCTTTTTGTAAATTAGATGTTAATTTCTCCACATGTGGAGTTAAAATATTTAATTGCAATTGAGGATAATCCATCCAGTCCTTTGTCAAAGATAAGTGGGAGGCTTTTCTTGGCAAGTGAGGGAAGCTCATGTCACCTGTTTCTAAGTTTTCATGTAAACCCAGTAGTTTAAATTTCTCATTATTTCCAAAAAAGACAAGCCAAAAGCTATCTTTTATGGGAACAGATGCTGTGCTGTCTTCTTGAAGCTGCAGGCTTAGAGGCAGATTTGTCATGCAGCTGCAGACTGAATCCAACAAGGCTGCTCTGTTCCAGGGTTGCTATTCAGAACCTTTTGGGCAGCAGTGAAAGAAGATCACATCCATTTCATGCTGGTTTTGCTGCTCTATAAAGATATGAGCAGCACCAGACACAGGCACGAATCATGCCTAGATTGCAGGGGAGGAAGATGTGTAAAACTTGTTAGAAAAATAAGGTATGGAAGACCCAGTCAGTACAACTTTTACAAACATATCTTTTACTTTGGAGTACTTTTGGTGTCATGGCACTGCTTCTTGTAGCAGCCTCTACTCTGGCTGAGTTAGAGACACTGAGCTCTATTTGCAATTAAGTACCACATGATTAGGGCCCCTATACCCCTGCTGGAGCATTGATTTTACACACATTAGCCTCTGTCCCTGTCAGCAGCACTTCAACTATGGCCCACATAGGTTCTCAGCATTCTGTTCTGCATCTGACATTAACCCCTGTTAAGCAGCTGAACTACAATTCAACACACTTGTCTTACAATATTGGTTTAGTTGTGATAACAAGAGGAACTCTGACTGCCGGTTTAGAAAAGTGTTTTCAGGCAGGCAGGGGAACAATTTGCCCAGAGAGGCTGTGCAGTTTCCATTCTTGAAGGCTTTTGAGACCTAGCTGGATAAAACCCTAAGCCATCTGGTTTGACCTTAGAGTTAACCATGATTTGAGCAGAAGGTTGGATCAGAGACATCCTGAGGACCCTTCTGACCAGGACTGCTTTATGATTCTATGATAAATTACATATCCAAGTAAGTGCCAAGTGATCCATATGCTTTATGAAAATGGCATCATATCTATACACGCTAATACCTAGATATTATAATATGTTCATCTCTCTATAATATTAGCTGCTTAAATTAGGGCCCACAGGATACCTCATTCTCTGTACCACAACACTGGAGGTTAGGATGGCTGCAGTGCATGAATAGAAAATACAAGTTTCTGCACTCACTGGGTTATTCAGATCAATAGAAAAAGTGTGCAAGATTAGACACTGGGTTTGCAGTATTCCAAGGGAGAGGAGATAAAGAATTACAAGAAATTTTGAGGTGCATGGTTTGCCTTTGATCTGCTACTAGTGTTCAGGGGTTTCTAAGGGTCTTGGAAAAAAAGCTTGGTAAAAAACAGTTAATTTAATAGATATCAGAATGACCATAACCAGGGTTAACCACGCTGAGATATAAACTTATAAAATTAGCTAAAAGCAGAGGCACGACAGGGCTAGGAGAGCAAGCTGCTGAAATGGAGTTTGTCAAATCCAGTTACTGAACTCTGCCATATCCCTGTCTTAAAGGTCAACCAGCAACCTCAGCCAAGCACATTCACACTATATTAAACTTGGACTGATTTCCCATCTATCATGCTGAGCTCCAGGAATCTAGTCTGTATTTTTCTCTATAGCACAAGGAAGTTAGTGTTAGCCTGCTAGTAGCGCCCTCAAACTGGTAACTTGGACATGAAAGAACAGGACTTCAAAATGAATGAACTGCCGCTGGTTAAGCAGGTTTAAGCGTAACCTCTGACCTACTTCAGGCCACACTTAAGTGTTCCCTTTATTCCAGATGAAGTTTGATCTGTTTACAACTGAAAAGTCTTTTTTTCCCCTCCACGTAGCAACTTTACTTAGTTGGGGGCTACAGCTGTACAGCAGGCAGGATGTATAGGGCATGACTGCACACTCAAACTAGCTCTTCATCAGGTATAGAACTGTAAAAGCCAGGCCTGCCGGAGTCCCTGCTGCTCGTACCCATTGTGGGTGCATGAGAGCAAACTGGTGTGTCTCCAGTGAAGCTGTTCTCATATTCCTCTGCAGGAGACACTCGAGAAGGTGAAAGACAAGCACAGATCTCCTTTCTCTCTGCTCATGTTTCATTGTACTTAGACATGTTGCAATCAACATTTACCTTTCTGCTTATTAGTAAATTACGAGTCAGGAGACTCCAGCACATTCCTTCCTAGAGAACAGGGATTAAACTATCAGATCTTTTCACTGACAGGATGAACAGCCAGTCTCCAGGAAAAAGATCTATTCCACAAGATGTTGGAGGCCAGCTTTGTACTGATCACAGCTCCCTGCTTGTTTGAATACCTGTTCATATGTTTATACT